GTGCTGTGCTGTGCTGTGCTGTGCTGTGCTGTGCTGTGCTGTGCTGTATCAAAAGGGCCACAGGCCAAGTGATGGTGCTGCGGTCTCTCACACTGCACTTTCTTTCCCTGTGGCTTAGTGACTCATGCTTCACACTTCCTTTTTATCCCACTTTGCAGCATTACGAAGAACCCTTTTGTAGCATAGGCAAGCATTTAGAAACGCTCAGTTCTGGTAAACAGTAAAAAATGATTCTTGCTAGCTATTAAGATGTCAGATTCACAGCTTTTCTGAGGAATGCATATCTTCACTCAAGCACATCTCTCCATAGCCCACCGCTCACACGTGGGGCCCAACTGTCAGCAACTGTACTCAGCAACACCACTGCTGTACTGAATGCTTCAGTAGTCCAGAATCCCTGATGAATGATGGGAATTTGCAATAGCTGATTCTTATCATCTGAAGATTTTATGCTCAATGAATTTAATGCTTTTTTTTTTTTTTTTTTTTACTTACTTTTATCTGAGAACAAGACTGACTTTTTTTTGGCATTGCCTTGGTTCATCCTGTTTTAGCTGGCACCTGCTTGCTCATTAGCTCATCTAAGTCTTCAGCTGGTCTACTGACAGTGTGCGTGTTATTGTCTACAATGATGAAATACAAGGAGGAAAACTTGCTAACTTGTTATTAGTAAGTGCCTTAAGATGCCAGTGAGTAACACAAGAGTTTGCTGGACATGTAGATCCAAATAGACACTATTAGAACTGAGAGGACAGTCACAAGAAAATATATTTTCACGTAGGTTAAGAATGGAGGGAGAACTCCATCTTTTCTTATCACGTATGGACTGGACCTTCATCCCCCATACACACCTTCCAGAACAGTGGGCTCTAAAACTTAGTACTTCTTGAGTATACTGAAAGACACAAAGCCCATATTTTATGCAAAATAAGTCAGCATCAGAAAGTCAGAGCATAGAACAGTAAATAATGCTAGATCGTTATGTCTTGCCAACGTTTGTCCACTCAGATTTCCTGTAATGTAACACTAAATCTAGCAACAAAGTACCGGAAAACCTAAGTGCAATTCCTTCATAGGCAATAACCTGCCATTATACCTTGTCTGAATGCTTAGTTTCAGTACTACTTATTGATGTTAACAGGAAGGCTTTATAGTTGTGTAGGCAAACTCAAGCAATTATTGCAATGAAGAGATATTTCAGCTTCTTCCCTCTTCTTGCCCCAGAGTGAGCCCCCACTGAGTCAGGACCACCACAAGAAAGCTTGACCTCATGCAAAAAACTAGACAGCATCAGATGCCTTTTTTCATCTGTAGCTAATGAGGCAACTGCATCATTTGCTAGGGAGTGAAATCCACATTTCTGTACATCTTTTGAAGAGCATGACTATGTTTTCCACCACTCAGTTAAGTTCCCTCACTTGTAGTTAATGAACTGTTTGGTTTTTTTTTTTTGGTTTTTTGGTTGTTGTTTTTTTTTTTGTTTGTTTGTTTTTAATGACAGAGGTTCTAAGAAGTTAATGGAAAGAAAATAAATGAAAACCAACATCTTTTTGCATTCAGAAGAACCTGTGAGAGGTCCAGGAAAAACCAGCATTGAACCCACTCACCCCCACTTCCCTTAGGGGACCCACTTCTACTGGTGGCATTGACATCAGCACAGAGCAACTAACCTATTTCCCAGTTGTCTCAATAGTTGAGACACTGATGGATAGATGCACAGATTCTTCTAGCTTAGGTTAGTTCATGATTATGTGCTTTACCAGACCCTTTATATTCCTCTTATTTCTTCACTGGGATCTGGGTTGGTCCCCTTATATGGCCCTTAGGGTCAGTGCTGCATTTTCTTCTCGAGGAATACTCATACATTATTTGGAGTTCCAGTGTATAATGGAACAGAGCTTTCTGGCACAGCAACAAATAAATAAATAAAAAATAAAAATAAAATAACTTTTAAAAGAGCAGTTCAGGTGCTGTTTCTTTTTCACAAACACTATTTTCTTTTTTGGTGATAGTTTTAGGAGCAATAAGCAAAAAATGAACTCAAGCCCTACTAACATAACTGTATTGCTACCAGTTGCCCCTGCTTAGGTTTGGTACTTGTCTTTTCAGTGCCTACATGAAACAGATAACAATGCAGTTTTATTGTTCCAGTTGTACTCAACACAAGTTGACCTTGTCAAGGGAGCTGGGCAGTGCTATATTGTGTATTTATAAAAAAAATTAAGAAAGAGGTCTTGCATCTCCAACATCAGGTAGCAGTAGTGATCTTTCCTCCTCTCCACAACAATCTCAAGGCTTGGAGAAGGATTGGAGCATCCAAGAAGTCCACCACATTCCCAGACAGTGCAATACATCACCAGCTCACTGCCTTTTATCTCCTCGGTCAGTGGCCACTCTCTATACTTCTTCTGTAGATGTGTCACCTAAGGACCATATCCATACCAGAGATTTGAAATAACAATAATAATATAATAATCCAACCACGCCTTTCGAGTCTGATTTCTTAGTGAACTGCCAGGCCTGCTCCAACCTCCAAGAAAGAAAATCTCGCTATTTGCACTGTGTTCAGCCAAGTTTAATCCTATTATTTCCTATAGGATGGCAGATTCACCCCTACCAGACTTACTGTCTCATTAAAAAAAAAAAAAAAAAAAAAAAAAAAAGCTAGAGACCAGACTTGCTCCCTTATTTCTTTCTTCCTTCCTCTCATTCAACCAGTTTCACTACCCAACCTGGCAGCGATTACATAAAACTTTCCACTTCTAACTCCTCCATTACTTCCTGGTATTTTTTTCAGATGTTACTGAAAAATCTGACATATGTCAGTGGCAATCTGTGCTGGCTCATGGGATGTTTAAAACCCTGTTACAGCAGGCTACCCAGGCAATGGCTCACACAGTGGCTCAGAGTATATGGAGGCAGTCACTGTTTAATAGCTTCTGTTTCCTTAGCAAGAACCAGACTTATGGATAAAGAATTCTGTTCAGCACAGTAAGAGAGAGATAGTAACTTTATTACTGTAATATTGGAAGTTTTTTGGGTGTAATATTTATGATTAATTAAGAAATGATCCCATTTTTTTCCTGAAAGAACCAGAGTAATGATTTTCTGAAGATACCTGTCTTTGTTAGAAATTAATATGAATGATCTACAACATGACTAAGTACTAGCAGAATAAAAATAATTATAAGCATTTGGTGCTTTAGCATTAAATGATATGAGCTTGCTGCCATCTGTGTCCTATTTGGAGCCTTAGCATCTTTTAATCCTGAAGGAGGACTAGCATTACTAAGTAAGTAAACAAGCATTACAGGAAATGGGAGAAGGGAAGAAATGAGAGCCATCCTTATAATCGCAAAACAAAAAGTCACATGTTACAACTGTCATCACAGTGTCCTAAAGCCCCCACCCTGAGCGGGCTGATTGGATGGTTTATTGTCCTGCTATCTCACAAAAGTATTAGCAGGATCTGAAGGGCTGGCTTATTTGCCCATGCTTTTTAGTTTCTATATGTGCGTTTTTAGACTCCGTACACTTTGTCGCTTCTCAAAACATCCACATTCTAAAAGCAAACAGCAAGTAATGAACAGGGCTTTTAACCCAACACTTCCCACAGCTATGGGCTGAAGGTTTGGCTCAGTGCTCAAGCGCCTTGGTGTAACGCCCTGACTCAAGTGAGCTTATGAGCGTCATAAAACAGGCAGGAGCATTTCAGGGTTCAAAAGCAAGGCAGTTCCTGCAGTGTAATGAGTTACTTACCGTGTGTCAGTGGAGCCAGATGCTCTTGGCCTGTCCCGTGTTTGAGGAAAAATGTGTTCATTGACATGTCAGCAAAAAAAAAAAAAAAAGATTTAAGATAATGCATTTTTGCCATGTGTTTGTGAGGGTCTGGAAGTACACGTGTGGTTGAGCCCCCAGCCTCAATGAACACACAGCGGCTCTTTACCCAACAGTAACGTGATTATCTGCCTGAACCCTGGGCTGAACCGCAGCAGTCAGCTCAGCCTGGAATTCAGCAAGAGGCAGGAGGCTGTCAGGGCGTCTGTAAATTTAACTTCTTACATTGCAAGTGAGAAACACTATTCTACTGAGGATTTACAGAGTCACAGCGTCAGCACTTTGGTTAAGAAAGGCATATTGTCTCTTCAGGGAGAGCTGAGAATTTCCAGTTTCACATTTAGTAAGTAGAAAGCATTCTGTGCGTAGGTGCTGATGTGTTGTGTTCCTGGCTGCACACAGAGCTGGTAGGTATGTTCTAACACAGTAAGCAAGAGTAGCAAGCTGCTCTCCAAATATTCTGAATCCCACGAAACAGCTGATTCACGACTCGGAGGCCCAGTGCATATTCTTGATCAGCAACCGAGTCACTCTGAAATCCTGGATCAGCAAGAAGTGAAATAGTGTGGCTCTGATCCAAGAAAGTGTGTGTGCATGTGGCTGCTCAAGGTCAGGAAGCTGTTTGGATGCTTGAGGTATGTGCTCTGCTGTATTTAGCACTTTGTGGGTTGGAACACTGAGATAACAATAAGAAAAAAATCACTCATGAAGTAGGGTTGCCAAGAAGGGGTTGGGCTAGAAGATCTCGTACCTCTTCTAAAACTATGAAAATAGTGCTGCTAAAGTTTTAATCAGTGTCTGCATTGGGAAATTGTGTATTTCATACACATCCCCTCAAAACCAGGCAAACAACCAACCAACCATTATCAGCTGTTTCCTGACCCCTTCATACACAAACCTTGAATCTGTAAAACCTCTATACGGTGAAAACAGCCTCTTTGTTCAGACAGCATTGTCAGAAGGTAAGAAGCCAAAGAGAAAAAAATCATCCAAGAGTCCCAAAGCCCTTTAAGAAAACTGATGGTGGTGATGGTGCTGGTGACACCGGCAAGTTGGTGATGTGTGCAGGTAATCCAAGTTCTTCCATAAGATTTTAACTCACTTCTTTGTGGAGCAAATAAGGCTCAGCCCAAATGGGGCAAGAATACTCCATTGTGGGGGCAGAGCAGAGCGAGGGCTCCAAGGAAAAGAAATTCACAATACCTCTAAGTAGCAACAAATCCAAATTGCTCTAGCACAACCAAAATTGCTACAGCTGTCTCAGGTTGTGGCCACTGGATGTCACTACTGATCCATTTCAGGGTACCAGCAGATTTTTACGAGAGCAAAACAAAAACCATCTTAATTTGGAGAGAATGAAATACTACTTTAGATATTAATATTGTTCATGAGAACTTGTTAGCTCATTTTATTAAGTCAGCATAGCAAGAAGCCTGTCACCATGTATACGAATGCAGGGCAGCATACACACGAGTGTTTGTCTTGCATTGCCAACTTTTCACAGGGGAAGAGACCTTGGCATTGAAAGGAAGAAACTTTTTTTGGGCAATGACATCACATAAATGTCAGCATAGAAACACCAAGGCCAGTATGGAGCAAGAGGATGTCCAGGATCATGGGCTGGGGGACCTCAGGTGGGAGCTAAGGACCATCCGATCATTACCCCATCTTTCTGTACTAAAAAACAATCCAGATCTACATTCTTGGGGAAGAGATATTTATCCTACATATTATAAATTTTTACAAGCAGTAGAAAGAAAGCTCACTAAAGATTGATTCTCTGTAGAGCACCTCTATCATGCTGGACAATTGCATAGATATGGAGGGAGAGGAAGGTCTGCTTTGGTACACCTGCAGTAAGGAGGTAACTGAGATGGAGGATGAAAAGATCTTTATCTGTGATATTTTTGCTCTGCTGGCATCCCCACAGACAAGAAGGGAGGTGATCTGATAGGAATAGAAGAAATGAGGCACCAGGGAGGGAAAAAAAAGAGAAAAAAAAAAAAAGGAGGGGGACTATTTATCTATTTTTAAGAAAGAAAATCTTAGAGAAATCATATATACTCAGTAGAGACTTCTAGAAATTAACAATTGGACTCATCCAAGATTTATCCCCTATGGGCAAGCAGGGGTCCCCAGGTTATTTATATGCCAGCCTCAATTTTTTGGAGTAATTTTTGGAGTGTTTTGAACCAGTTTGGAGTGAGTGGTGTTCAGGGCAGCCCAGTTGTTTTCAGCAGCAGAGCTTTGGGTTCTTGAACTCCACTGCAGGCTCTGGAGAAGCAAAGCATGGCCTTAGAGCATCCTGACCCAGCCCAGCAGACCAGGCTGGTGTGGATTACATCAGCTTGATGAACTGCTTGATATACCTGGATAAATATAGTGGTGATGAGCTCTCAGCTATCTAACAGAGCTGAGGGTCTAACAGGACTGAGCAGAGGCTCTTTGCATCACCAGGCTCAGCAGCAGCCTCACAGCCCACTGAGCTCATTGGAAACCTGAGAAACTCATCTGATTTCTGCTTGGAAGTTCATTTTGATTTAATCAGTCTGGCATTTTGCCAGTGGAAAATTTTTCCACTCTGAAATTTGCAGGCCAGTTTTAGTGAAAGCTAATGGACAACACAAGGAGGTCTTCTGCGCAGCTCCTTTTTGCCTTCTCTTTGCTTACATGCAGAACCATATTAATGCCATGAGGAAATGACATTACATGCAGAGATATATTGGTGTCATGCACAAGACAGGTACTTCAGTTACTCAGATGAATTTGCTCAGGAAAGAGTCATATGGGATCTGTCCCATGTTCAGCCTGATCTACTGGTTGATAATTTTGCCCAAGGCAGTGGATTGGAGCTCAATGATCATTAAAGTCCCTTCCAATCAAAGCCATTCTATGATTCTACCATTCCATAAGGTAGAAAAGATGAAGGGAAAAAAAAAAAAAACAAAAAACAAAAAACCAAAAACCAGAAAACCCAGAACATGCAATGACCAGACCTGCACCATTTGGTCATTGTGTCTTCTCTATGCCTGAGAAAGCTACTGCACTTCTGTCCCGCTGCATGCAGTGGCTGTAGGTGCTGGAAGCTTTTTAATAGAGCAGTAAACAGTGTGTGTGAATGGAGACTGGAACCACAGCCAGCAGCCCTTACGCTGTGCCAACACATCCTTCAGCTCTGCAAGTAGTCCCATTGGTTTCAATAGGATTACTTGCAGGGTAAAGCCACTCAGCCTGAGGCAGGGAATCTGATCCCTTGTTTTCAGCTGAAGATGTAAACTCTGGGACAAAGATCATTTCGATTTCACAGAGGCTCAGCCTGGCTTTCGCTCAAGCTAGGGGAAAAGGTGACCCTTCTGTAAAGAAGTATATTGCCAGAAAGCCATTTATCAGTCTAAAAAGGAGATTTAATATCAAGCTTAAAGTCATATTTCATAAGCCTCATTTCAAAAATCACACTATAGATTAGTAAAGACAAACCTTCCTAGCAGGAAAGCAAAGAGACAGAACTGGCCAGAGCTCTCCACAAGGCGTTGGCAGGACCTCCCGAACCTTAAGCATCAGCTGCACGCTCCCCTCCTCTTCTGGAAGCATTACTTTGTCCCATGGAAACTTGAGTACTTAAGATAAAATGTAAGAAACTCTCACCAGCTCTTTTTATGAGCGTTGTAAGAGATGCCAGATGATTATCTGAGGCCTTCCCAACAAACCCGCAGCTACGGGGGGAACACAGGGAGGCTGGCAAGATAGGGAAATCCTGTAGCCAAAAAACTTTTGGAGAGAGCAATTTCTCCTCCCACTTGTAGAGACCACACTTAAATATTTGCGGTATCATAAATATGCTCTTCTAGTGTGCACTAATAGGTCTCTGGAACACATCTGGTGTTGGTGGCTCCGGACTGGCTTGGAGCAAGGTAAGGAGTGTCCATGCATGTACTGAGGGTGTGGGGCTCAGCGCTGCTTGGTTGGATCTCATTCTGCTGCCTGGGGTTACAAAGTGCAGTTTTCTATCACTAACCTTGATTACTATAGATAAAGTGTAATATATGGGGAGGATAAGCTGCTACCATAGGGATAAAACAAAACAGATTGCTAGATGCTGATAGGTTGTATGGCCACTTACACATGCACAAAAGTGATAGAATATATTCTCAAAATCGATGACAAAAATGTAACTGGTAATGCTCTGCTTTCTCTCAAAATGCAGTGATTTTATTCTAACAGCATCCCGTGAACAGCAGCATGAAGTCTTAGTTCCCTTCTTTCCCTTTTTTATTCAGTTTCTTTCTATGGAGAAGGGGACTTTGTTTCCCCATGCACTCACTCTCTCTTGTGCTGATTGTGGCTTTAGAGAAGTGCCTTCAGTCCCAAAAGCTGAGGTCCTTCCCTTGGAAGAAAAATAAAGTGAAAGGTGTGATGGGTTTTCCCTGTGCAGGTGCAGTGTAGGAAGATTTTAATGACTTCCTTCTTGTCAAAAGCGTAAGTGGATTGCTGTGCCCTGAGTGTAAGAGCAGAAGTGATTTCTTCTCAGGTGTTAGGAGGTAGGAAAGAGTATTGCAATAACCACCTACCTCATCAGCGAGGACACTGAGATGTGTGATCTGTGACCAAGCAAAAGTGAACCTGAGTCACAGGAACACTTTGTGTTTATAGGGCAGCTTTTATCAGAGAATGTTTTACTGACTCAGAGAGGTAGAGATAAAGACACAAACTGACACCATGTCCGACTTCCCCCAGTGACATCACAGAGCCGAAGTTAGGGTTTGGCCCCACATGCTGGGCTTCCACATCTGTTCCCTCACAAAGGGAGATTGAGCTCCACTGAATAGATGGTAACTGATGCACAGAGATCATGGGGACTTTGTCCAAAGTCAGAAATTGAGCATATTAATGAAAAAGGACCCAAGAGTTTTGACTTTGCATTCTAACCCTAAGAAAAACTTAATTTGGCACAAGCAGCTGCACGATCTTAGGGCTTCTGCACGAGCAGGGAGTAGTTTGCTTAATGAAATAATATCTCAGGCACACACAAAGAGCAATTACTTGCTCTTCTATAAACCCTCATGTATTCATCTAGAAAAAATGCTCATGACTCAGTCATCTGGGATGGTTCAAGCTGCTCACCCTGCAGCGGGAGGCGTAGGCATGGCAATGGTGAAGTTAAAAAGGAAGACACATGACCTCAATTACTCACAGGGAGTCAAATTATGATCTCAGATACAGCAGTATAAATCCAGAGTCATTCCCCCTGAAGTAATTGGCATGATACCGTATTTCTGTAACATACGGGAAATCAGAAATGCGGTCTACAATCTCGGTATGTCTGTGGAGCTTTATGCAGAGAGGCTGTGCTCTCCAGCAATGCGTTATTAGTTATGGAGGAGAAAAAAGTTGGAAAACGTACAAGGTAGGAAAATATAGCGAGTTTCCCTGTAGCAAGAGCAACAATTTATTACCTAGTTTTGACAGCATACTAAATAGTGATTTCGCTTCTTTTTTTAAATCAGGTTTTCTCCACTTTTTGTAAACAGAGTAAGTAACTGCTCTACAGAAAAATTTCATGAGGGAATATCTGGTTGAAATCTAAACTTCAGTTCCTCATTTTTGCTTTGGATATCATAAATGATGGGAAAAGGAGGATGTTGGCAGAAGAAAGGTGAGGAAAATTAGGAATGTACGGATGTACAGCTGGAGGATGACTATCATCACGGGCCTAGAGTTAGAAATATTACAAGTTCTAAGGAAGGAATGATTAATGTAACAACTACAATGAACCATCCCAGTGGGACATCTGAAATTGTATGAAAATATTTCCATCAGCACAGAACAAAGGGCTGAGGGCTCTAAGAGCAGGAGACGGGATGCAGCACCACAGGAGACCAAACAGCAATGCGTTATAAATAGAACTTGTGCTTGTCCTTTCTGAGCTTTCAATAACTGTGATATTCCCAACCTCAAGGTTTGGAACTGATAGATGAGGAGTTTACCGTACATACAAACATACATAGACATACCAATGTTATGGTATGTGTGTTTTAACATTTTCTAGTCCTCTAGAGGCAGTTCAAACACACATTGCATTAAACTACAACTCAGGCACAACAGGGCATGGCAAAGGATGCCCAAGGGTTGCTCCCAAAAAGCAGTGTGCAGGATTGCTGCAGGGCTGCCGCTCAGCAGCCTAGAACATCACATGCCTCTCCATGTACACAGCAGTGCTCTGCAGGTATATCTCACAGCTCCAGGCTTGGCCTCCAGTCAGCAACACATTAGATAAACAGTGTCAGCACACATTGGATAGTTATAGATTCTAAGCATGCAGAAGGCACACACATGCACCAGTGAAGTTACAAACCTTGTAGACTAAGGAAAGTGATACTGTATTACATGTATGAAAGCAAAGTAGGCATGTTTGAGTGCACATGAAGTGTAAATATGTTTGAAATGTGATAGCATACGTGCTCTGAAGTGCAAAGCCAGGTCCAGGGATATCATTATGGGAAATGTCAGAGTAGGTTATTAAGAAACTGTTTGCATTGGCACCGCTGAAGCGTTGGATGCCTCTGTTTCTTCTCAGACAGAAGCACTGTGACAACTTGAAGTGTTTTTGTGACAGATCCAAGAATAGTAAGCCTTTCTCAGCTTTCTCAGCTTTCTCAGCTTTCTCTCACTGCTGAACTGACAGCTTGCAGTCAGTCAGTGTGTGAATGGGAGCTGGGTAACTGATGGATATCTGTATTTGCACCATTAAGTCCGCTGCCATGAAGCTGCCACCTCTCAGGTTCTACAGAGCAGCAAGACAGATGAACTGACACTCCTGCAGCACCCATCCCCATCCAGCTGAGCAAGGCACTACCATGGTATTCCCAGATCAAACAAAAGAAGAAGAAAAACTACTTACCTTCGAAGGCTGCAGATAGGTAGAGATCTCCTGAAAGACAGCCTCACCTCCACTGCCCATCCTTAAATGAGGTCTGGGAAGGGATGGATCCTGGCTTCACCCCTTCTGGTCACTCAGGTGCAGTGCAATGCATTGCATTGCATTGCATTGCATTGTATGCACCTGAGCTTCAATGGGTTGACCCTGCCTCCCACTAGGTGCTCAATCACTGCTTCAAGCCACGACTTAGCATTTCTGCTACACACTTGGCCATGCAAAAAAATCAGAGATCAGGAATTTCCACAGGAGGACGTGAAATGGAAAGGAACTGCAAAATCACATGAGCTATTACTTCTTAAAAAATCCTGGATGTAGGGATGCAGGACAGTTGAAATTCAGGTGGTGAGGGAGGAACAGCACTGATCCCTGATTCTGTTATGGAGGACCTGTTCCGTGAGACTCGTGACACAGGCTGCCCAAAGGAGTGGTGGAATCACTGTCACTGAAAGTGTTCAAGAAACATGGAGATGTGGCACTGAGAGCCGTGGTTAGTGGGCACAGTCAGGATGGGTTGGACTTGGTGATCTCAGAGATCTTTTCCAACCTGAATGATTCTATGGCTCTATGCGTCACAGTGCCTGCTGCACATGGGCATTCCTGGAGGGAAATGGGTGGTATGGGGCATGTCATAGGGTGAGCTTTGGGCTGGCTGTAGGGTTGAGAATGGAAGGCATGGTGTATGAACAGCTGCTTTGTGGGATGATGAACATCAGCAGAGAAAGTTTTCTTCAGGCTGAAACTCCATCGTGAAGTGACAATTGGTCCATTGGCCAACCAGCCACATCAGCACAGGTCTCCAGGGCAGACAGGAGCAGCAGGGTACATGGCACATTCGTGAGATGAGGGTGACTGGAAACATCTAAAAGACCCTGAAAAGTTAAACCCTGTGAACTCTGAGAGCTCAGTGACATCTGTGGACTTACTGTTGGAAGACAGTCAAGCAGCATAAGACAGTCTTTACAAACAAGTGAGATGCTGATCTTTAAGAACATTTAAGGAAAAGGGTTTTAGCAGTTATGTTTCATTGGGTATTTATTTAATGTGCCAGATCCAACAGGTGTAGGTAATTTGGAACAGCTGAGGACACATCAACTTGTGTAATGTTAAGGCAGTTACTCCAGAGAGGAAGGGGAAAATATTAGCATAACTATCTCCTCACACATTCTCTCTTGTCTTTGTATAACATCTGACACACTGCAGGTCCCTGCCAGCAAAATAAAACAATGATCCTAACCCCGTGGGTCTGTTATTGTTGATTTATAAAATACTTATAGCTAGTTGTGTTAAACGTGCCCCTCCACTGTGAGAAACAATTACTGAGCATACAGTGGTGCAAGACTGTGCTGTTGTTATTACATATAAAGGCATCTTCAAAATGTATTTTTTAGGCATTTCAACCACCTTACGGAAACCCATCTAGAAATAAACATATCTGGTCTAATGTATGTAATGAATTTAGTGGGCCGTTCTTCCACATTAAGAACAAGTCTAATAGGGTGATTGAGCAAAGCCAAATGTCTCCAGGAAATTCCTTTATAATACATGATTGAATTATTGTTTTTCTATTAGGGCAGCCAAAACATTCAGTGTCCTTGACAATACAGGATGTGTGCCGTGAGTTTTTGCCACTAAGCTAGGCATACTGTATCTGGATATGTGCCCAGCTATTTGAGTATTTCCACTTGAATGATTTATTCATTTTCCAGAGAAAGACTACAGA